GGCACAGCAGCCGCAAGCAATGACCTGTAGTTCCAGATTTCGCCACTGAATAGAAGAGGCAGCACGCTACGGCCACACCCCGCAACCACAAGGCCTGGCGGGAAAGGTCAGCAGCGAAGCGGGGGGTGCTAGCCAGCTGACGATGGGGACACGCCCAACAGCAGCGAAGCGGGGGGTGCTAGCCAGCTGACGATGGGGACACGCCCAAGGTACTAGTTGCCAGAGCTACCGCCAACCGAAGGGGGCAGCACTATCCAGACGCGAGAAAGGTTGACAACAAAAGATGTATGATTCTGGGAGATAAAACCATTTTGACGGAAGATCGGACGGAGGGGTAGCTCCTAAAGTAATCAGCCAATACAGTAGCCGCGGGAGAAATGACTGACAAATATGGGGCTTGTGGCAAATGCAGGCTTGAATTCCAAGGGCTAGAGTCACCGTCAGGTTAATAGCAAAATACAACCAAGAAAATGGAGCAGCCGGCCATGAACAATGTCTGCAAATCCCAAGCCTAGAGACTAAGCAAGAGGACGTCGGGAAAACAGTTATACCAGCTCAGCGCAACGGTCGTGTCGGAAACAGCAATACGGAATACACCGATTCGCCAAAATCTAAGATGAAGGCTAAGATACGAAGTGTCGTCTCCTGAGTACATTGTAAGTGGCTGGAACAAAGAAACGCTGTTGAGGCTAACTAAGCTGTTATGGGATTCAACCCAATTCAAGCAAACAACGACGAGCTATATGGAATGTGATAAGATGTTTAGCTACCGAGGTATTTGGATAACCAGAGGAAAAGAAGGCTGCTGCGGGCAGATACGCAGTCGATATAAGAATGAAAGTGGTTGATGATAAAGAAACGGCACGACAGAGCTAATTAACACTTTTATCAATGTTCTTATATCCTACACATCGATGAACCGACTGGTAAAACTCCCAATATGAAGATGGTGAGCGGCCAAGTGAAAACGCACGGGAGTAACAAAGACACCCTGGGTGCAATGACTCGGAGGTCGGCTCAGGGCGTGGCAGCCCCTCGAGCTATAAAAGGCGCACGATTCACCCCGGAGACACAGTCGAGCAGCCGAGAGTCACAGTCTGCAGCCGGAGCCGGAGACGCCATCTGGAGGCCGCCGTCGGTCCGGGGTCACCCGCGAGAAGCCTCTTCAGTTCGACCGACCAGAGCCGGAGGACAACCGCCGACGCTTGAGACCACACTGAGAAGCGGAAGCGCAGAGAACTCCAGAATGTGAGTGTTGTTGAAAAGTCTGCTCAATCCCAATCCTTGAACCCCCCCCCCCCCCCTCTGCCCGGTTGCCGTGCCGTGACGACTGCCAAACATTTTCGGTTGCCATAAAATGCACTCTCAATTGGAATTGGAAAACTTAAATTACTTTGAACTTATTGGTCCAGACACCCTAGTAGCATATTAGGATCTGAATTTCGAGGTCATGTCAGAGTCGCCAGCAAATCGTTATCGTCCGTTGGAATTCACGATTAGGCCGTGAGCGAAATCCTAAAATTTGAATAAGCAGCTCAGTGTCACGAACGCTGAAATTGATGACAGAATGCGTGACAACATTGAATATGTCATTGTCTTTGGTCAAACTGGTTCGTTCGATTTATTATAATCGGCGGTGGTCAAGTGCGATTTGAGGTTGGAATTCGTTTGTGAAATTAATGGTGTAGATTCGTGCTTAATTCACTAAAAGTTGCATTGCGAAATTATTGGTAATATTGCTGAAGGAATTAATTGCGAAGTCGAAATCAATTATTGAACAGGTAAATACGGTTGAAAGCGAATGTAATGTTTTAAGGTGGCGACTGATTCATGCGATCGATCTATGAATATGGCTATGAGTTATGATTTTCGACAGATACGAATGCTTGAGCTTACGGCGGAATTTCTTCTGTTACTTAGGTGCAGAGTTGTGAGCAGTGGTTAGAGGTTGACGGTTTGACACTTTGCGACTTTAGATGGTCACTTTGCGTCATTTAAATTGCGAAATGTCGAGTAACAGGTAGATGTAGAATTGTTTGTGATTAGAGCTAATATGCGACTAATATAGGTACCGATCGTTGTGCTTTTGTAGAATAAATACTAGAAAGGACCATCTTTGTTGGGGAACGATTAAATGGGACAGGAATTTAATTAAAAAAAAAACTTACTTCGAATGGAGCTGATGAGATGTCGAACAGGGAGATATTGCAGCAATATTTTACCAGATTCACACTCACTGACACATCCGGTGAATCTACCCGGCCAGAAGAGACAACACACACGAGCACTGTACCGCGAGTGTTGACGCGTCCATAACGGCGTGACTGTGACTGACGGTGTCGACGCGGCGCCGGCCGGCGGCCGTGGTATTCGTCGTCCCCGACGCGGGCGTTGAGCCGCCAGAGGGCGCGAGGAGCAGCCACAACAGGGGCAGTGGGTTAGCCGTAATTGGGGCGCGTGCGGTAGGTGGAGGTCATCGTATAGAAACATGGTTAGTTGTGGGAAGTTGCAACGGGATAAGAACGTAAACAGTTAATGCATAATTTCAAATACGAAATGCTATGATAATATCTAGGACTGCAGTTCTTCTCATATGCATTGTTTACTGTTAATAATATGATTTAAATTAGGTTTCCTCTGAAAAGCTAGCGACCCCTATGACAATATTTTGGAACTCTATAAAGATAATTTGTATAGGTAACTAATAGTCCATCAGAAGCTATCGAGCGAAATTCAATGAGTCGTTTCCGTTTGAGCATTCAGTAGTTTACTATGATACGGTGGATCACAACCAGACGACAAATCGATGCGTGTTAATTGGTTCAAGATCATATGTCTGATTAAATTCAAGAGCGGTTCAAGGTCTGCTAGATTTTATACGAGAACTGATGATTACGATTTGGTTTGGATAAATAATGCGTTTCTGTTATTCGCGTTCTTGCGAGTTAGCGCCAATAATTACTCCACCAATATCGGCACAGGGCATTGTGAGGCACAGACGGCTTGTTTGCCCGTCTCCTATGGCGTAACGTTTACCAGCATGACTGTATGAGACACAGATGCACTTCTCTAAACCCACGTCCAGACCGGAATATTAAGAGGGACATACCGTCACGTACGCAGGGCATATGCACGTTTTCCGCCAGTGGTACCGGCCACTGTTAATTTTCCCGCTTAGGTAACACTGGGTGAGAAGGCAGTGAGAGGTTTCTACGGCAGGGGGAAGGGGGAAGATTGGCACAGTGCAGTGGAGAGTAAGTTATGCCAAAGGCAAGAAGCCGAAGGTCAGGGGTGAGTCACCCAAAGGGCGGATAAGGCGAGCCGTAGTGTCCCGGATAAGTCCTCATACTTATTTCGTAAAGGTACTCTAATCGGTACTGGACAGCCTCAGGGGAGGGAAGAATGTACTCCAGGACACGTAAGGCCTTGAAGAGTAAATCCCACGGTTTAAGGAGAGTTCCTGAGGAGAGTTCCAGGATATGAACGGTGGTCCCTGGGTCGTGAACGGAGGTGTTACACGCGGACCGGAAGAGGGCATAGGTAATCTCTCCCGGATAGAGAGATAAGTCGGATATAAATCGTGTATGTGTGTACCATAAGTCTATCGGACGTGTAGTGAATCCCATACATTAGTAGGGTGGATATTTGTGCAATTATTCTGGACGGCCCTGCGATAAGTATCTTTGTCGCCGGTTAGCGGAGCATGCATATGGATTTCGGAAAGAGACATTTATCTCGCCGGGGAGATCGTTGTTGATCCGACGCCTAGCACTATCGGAGGGAATTTTGAGGGCTACGAATTAAATTTGGGTGAATACATGAAAGGTGAATGTAACGCGAGCAAGGGTGTGAGAATGGTGAAGGATGAATCTTAGAATAAGGCCGATAGGAATTGCGTAGAATTCGGTTACGGCAGTCGAGCTAGCAACCCTCGAGGGCAACTAAACTATAGCAACGCTAATACGAATTAAGTGGGCAGTTTTCGTAATGGGGAGGCCAGTGATATAGGAATGGGTGACTGGACGAATGATCACATTCAATTAATCAAGGTAATTACCACCCATAAGTTTGGCAGTGGTCATCGGGACTTCGAATGCCCTGTCCTTCACCTGCCCAACTGTGCCGCAAACCCAGCTGATCGGATCCCTCTATCCCTATCCGAGCAGTGAAGAAGCATCTCGTGCATCATGGTCTATACAATGAACAGAATTATCAAGCCTCTAAATTAAAAAGCATCTTCCATCAGATGTATTTGTATGCAAGGTGGATCTCAACATCTATCTCAGCATCTTCATCAATACCTGTATCTCTCTCTAGATCTCTCTCTCGGGATCTTTTCCAAGACTCTCAAGCTCCCCTGTTCTACTAGTTCAACCATCGAGTTCATTACAGCAGCAAATTGTTCTATGTTATTCTTCTACAATCAGCCGCAATGACAGTGGACCGCGATGTTTGATGAACCGCCAGATGGAGTAATTTTCTTTATTTTCTTCTTTTTTTCCTTCATTCCCTTGCTACAGTAACAGACTGGCCGACAGCGGAGGACGGATTGTAGCGGGTACAGACTGGTCGACAGCGGAGGACGGATTGTGGCAGGGTAACAGACTGGTCGACAGCGGAGGACGGGTTGCAGCGGGTGTAACAGACTGGCCGACAGTGGGCGGTAGAGGACAGACTGTAGAAGTACCGTTCAATAGCTGCACCATACAAGCAAACACAGTGGACATTGTGTTGTGGCCAACTATTGGGACAACTATTTGAGCAACTTGAAGACCATTCAATGAATGCCAGAATAAGGCTGCTATTTGCACATTGTAAGAACTGTGAGCAGTGGCTAAAGCCCCCTTAAAGTCAGGGAAATCCAAGATACAAGCATAAGAAATGGTAGAAGTGTGTGCCTAAAAAGGAGGTAACGATGCACATGTTACGGGTGACATTGGTGATGTGTCAGTTTTTTCTCATTCCCGCCGATTATATTGCTCAATGCTCATATTCAGTCAACTGCGTCTGTTTGTATTGCTGTGCGATCGACTCACAACAACTGGTGTGGTTCACTCTCTCACTCATACACTCCGGTACCACTCCTCGTGGAAAAACAGCCGCACCGCGACCGTCACATCACGGCACGTTACGGAGGGAGGGGCTGGAACAGCACTGGGGATCGCCGTAACCAGGGGGTCTCCGGCCTGACCGACGTTAGAGGGACGCCAGTGGAGGTCGGGGAGGTCCCACCCGGTCCCGCAGACTCCCCCCCCCCACACATACACACACACATACACACACTGTTCTGAGCCCCAGCGAAGACAGCTAGCTATCAACTGTCTGTCAACGTGATGGACAGCTGCCACATGACTGACAGCAAACTGTCGTCAGCCGGGGTCACGGAGTACACGACAGGCTCATATCGTCGTACATACACTTGGGCCGAAAGGTCAGGACGTGGTGGGAGAGCTTGGATAATGCATGTTGTGGTTGTTAGGCCTGATGAGCTTTTGGATATAGCCGCGGTAATGGGAACGTTACGGCAGAGGTTCGATGAAACCAGGGGATTTGAAGCATCGCAGTGACTGCCACGAAGTCATATCAGCGTAAAAAGGAAACGCAAACTGTTCAGAGCATCATATCGCAAAAACATGCAACTTGTCATCGCATTTCGTCCCTGGAGGACGTCTCATTCCCGCAGACTGGATTCAATCAGAGGTCTGCGGCAGAGATCGGACAGCACCCGCATCGGTACGGGGTGGATCAGCTCTACATATTACCACTCCGGCCTGACCACTCCACTCTGGTGTGAGATATTCACGGGAAAGGCGGTCCCTGCGGTGTAGTTGTAACTCACTCTGCACACCCGGCACACTGCGGCTCGCCGGGCGTCGGCTCGGTGGGCCGCCGCAGTCGCCGGCCACAGCCGCGTCCATTCCCAGCGGTGCAAACTGTCCGATAAAGTGTCCGGCTCCCCGGGGGTGTCCGCAGACAGCGGCGGTGCCACGACGTCTCATTAGGGCTCAGGTGGGTCCAGCCACGCTATGGGCGCCCTGGGAGTCGCTCCGAACGATCATTCACCGCTGGCCGGCGGCGGTCGAGCTCAGGCAGTTCGTGAGTCAGTGTGAGACATTCACGGGAAGGGCGGTCCCCGCGGTGTAGTTGTAATGGTCTGCAAGCTGCCAGTGCGGTTGCTGGGCCGGCCGAGGTCGAGTCGTTCTCAGAGGCAGACGGCTGGGCGTCGGAATGGTCTGGAGTCCATCGGCGGTGACAGTGTCAGGCGGCGACAGACAGCGGGGCGCCGGTCGCGCCGGTCACGCTCCTCGGTCGCCGGTGGTCGCCGGTCGGTGGCCGCCCCTCCCCGTCGGCGGTCGACGCTGCTCTGATGACGTACGGTCGATAACCGGCCGCCGGCGGGTAACACTGCCCCTCTCCCCTCCCCTGGACACCGCCCGGTCCGGCCACACCGACCGTCACACGGCGACGGGGACGCACCACGACACGGTCCTGGCGGCAGCAGACACTCGGGGCTCCCTGCTGGTCCTGCTCGGCACCGGGAGGCAGTGGGGTTTACCGGGGCCCGGCGTGGGCCCGGTGAGGGTCTATGTGGGCCCGGTGCGGGCCCGCGCGGCGGCTCACAACAGGGAGCTGACGCCGGCGCAGCAGCACGAGCTGGCCACCTTGGTATCTCTCCTCCAGCGCGGTTTGCCGGGGAGCAGGCCGTGGCCCTCCATGGCCCACATGTTGACGCGAGCTGCAACACACGGAGAAGGAGGCGTCAACAGCGAGCGATGGAGTGGCGCCGCCGACTCAGGAAAATCGAGTCAGTGTCATCGGCGCCGACGTGGCCGCCGGACGGTGTGACATATTGGGGGTCTTGTGGGAAAGCGCGGCGCGGGCTCATATGGTGCAGCACCGGGCCCTGAAATATTGATGTAGCTATATGTCAGGGCAGCAGGCCTGTGGACATCAGAGAAGCCGTCGGAAATCCTGCTATTTTCACTGGGATCAATCAAGTGGTGTTGAACTATCGTCAGTTCTTTTTTCTATTTTTGGAGCATCGTGTTATGTTCGAGGTTCAGCTTGAGCCGAGTGAGCAGATTGTGAGCTAGGAAAACCACGATAGTTCAGTGACAGGAATAACCTCGTTCCCGTTTTTCAACTTCCTGTGAGCACCTGTTCTGTTGCGCAATCGCTTCAGGAGTAGAACATTCAGCTGCATGACAAAGTCTGCGCACTGCAGTGGTGGTTCTAATCCGGCTTATGAAGCTCGGGCCGGCTCTCCACCCCGCTCTCGAGAGGACCCTCCCGCGCGGTAAATCCCCGTGGAGCCAGCGATAAGCCGCTCACATTTTAGGCCGGCAGACATTATGGAATGGCGAGCTGCTGCCAGACTCGGTAAACAGCCTCTGAGCGGTGCACGATTGCGAATGAATCGCAAAGTGCGTGCGAGGGAGGCACCACAGCGTGTCTGCCTGTGAATAGATTTCGTATTGTGCTGCTCCGAAAGTCGTTACATCAGTGGAAAAGCAGTCTTGTTAAAATTGTTCGGCAGCGCCCAGACTTCAAAATGGTTTCCGTTGGTATTTCAGGTCGTTTTTGGGTTTGTCCAACAACCTGAATTTGGCATCTATGTATGTAGAATCTGCATTTCTATGCAACACCTGCCTGCTCAATCTTTTTATTAATTCAAAGGCAGCCAGAGCCATATTTACCTACTAGCTTTTTACATTGCATTCCTATCTTGGCCAATCTTGGAATTCGATAACCTACCTTTTTATTAGATAGGAAACTGTGGCTCATTGCTTCAACACCAATACTAATATCAGGAGAGAGAGAGAGAGAGAGAGAGAGAGAGAGAGAGAGAGAGAGAGAGAGAGAGAGAGAGAGAGAGAGAGAGAGAGAGAGAGAGAGAGAGAGAGAGAGAGAGAGAGAGAGAGAGAGAGAGAGAGAGAGAGAGAGAGAGAGAGAGAGATAGAGAGAGAGAGAGAGAGAGAGAGACAGTAATTGAGGAGAAAGAGTGCCGCCCATAATGTGAAGTTGCGATGGGCGCGGAGCTCGCGTTGCTGTATTAGTTTTCTCTGCGGCTCGCCTGGCGCGCGATGAGCACCTCTGATGCGCTCCGTCTATGGGTCGCCACCTGAAGTTTGGTCTCGGAGGCGGCCGAATCAATCGGCGGCCGCCGGGCACGGGTCCTCGGGGTCCAATCTCCGTGCCGAGGCGGCCGCAGCCTCCCCCGGCCGGGGAGGGGAGGGATGGGGCGGCCCGACCGCCGCAGGTGCCGGCCGGCCGCTGCAGAGCCGAGACGGCCCTCTCGAGCCGAATCGATCGCCGCATTGAGCTGGCGCCGTAAATGCCACGGTGAGATTAGCCCCGTCCGCCGCGCACGGCAAACATCACACGTCGGGCCGCGCAGGTCGCGTCCCGAGGGGCGGGGACCGGTCACCTGGGGTCAGCCGAGTCTGGTCGGGTCAGCCGCCGCTGGGATGGAGAGCCACGGCTGAGGCGTAATGTAAAAAGCGCATGAAATTGATAAATCGCTACCAAAGATTGGGTCACCAGTTTCATCGGCGGTTTCAGAGGGATGTCATTTGCATGATATTGACCGTTAAAGTGCATTCTGAACCGCTCACTGTGACTGATCTAGACAAATATTGGAGAGCTTTTCGTTACTAACCACGCAATATGCGCACCGTCGCTCGCTCGCTCTCTCCACGTCTGCCCACGACCCTGGGACAAGGCGCAATCGATGGTTCGATAGCCAATAGAGCCGGCGAGGAGCCCCCGCTTGGTGTCCTCAATAGACTCGGGTCAGTGTCACTCCGTTCGGGGGCGTGCCCACGTGCAGTGTCAGTGTGCACCACCCAGGTCAAGTGGCCGCTGACCGATAGACACTTCGGGCGCGGGGCAGCTGTGACTATTGCCGACCCATGGTGACTGCACAAGGTGTAGATTAGAATCACCTGCTCTGCCTGGACGCCCCACCTACACAGGGCAATGTGGGACTTTGGTCGATCTCCTTTGCCCCTGATGCAGTGCTTCCCGTACGTAATCTTATTTAAGAAGATGATTAAAGGTGCCTTAATTAATTTTTCAAATAGAAGATGAAAAGGGACGTGTTTCGGAATTTATATTGCAAGCCCTACCGAGGTTAAAGTAAAAATAGTATATTATTAGGATGTTTTAAAGTAAAAGGACTCAGACCATATATGTTAAACTTGTCTTCGACATGGCTTACGCTCAGGCAGTTCTAGAGACAGTGCGGGAATCTACCAAAACATATGCCTAAAGAACACGTTCATTGTTGTAGGAATATGGCGACGCTTTTTTGCGGAGTTACATTCCCTCCCCCTCTCCCCATCAAAGAAGGTGACGTCCATAAAAATTAAACGGCAATTTGCAATAGTTTAATTCCGGCTTAAGTGTTTGGCAGTTCAGAGGGACAAAACCTCGACTCGTTTCCATTTTTGTCATTCGATTGAATAAATACATTGGTGCAGCGACTCGGTAAATGTCATAACATCAAAGCATGCAATGAACGGAACTTTTTAACTTGTTCCAGGCTTGGTGTGTGTCGCTCGCTTGATGTTAATGGCCCGAGATTGATTCGTTTGCAAATGTAGGGTCTTGGGGTCCAACGTATTCATGATGACTGTCACACGACTCACACATGCCCAGATGAAAAAATATTGGGCATGACTCACTGCAAAAGGTCAGTCTCTCACCTCACTCCATCCACCAAAGATCAGAACGCAAGCAAGTCAAGATCTGAGCCCAGCCCACCAAAGATCATAGCACAGCCCACCAAAGATCTGAGCCCAACCCACCAAAGATCATAGCACAGCCCACCACCGATCCGATCCCGTCTCACCCGACTCGGCCTTGGGCATGAACTCCTGCATTTCGTCCAGCAGCAGCTCGATCTCGCGGCAGTCCTTCTCGATGCTGATGAGCTCCTCGCGCTGAAAGTTGGGTGTGATCGGCACGTGAAGAATGATCTGCGAGATGACGTTACCCAGGCCGGAGCTGGACGGGCCGGGCCGGCTCTCTGTCGCACCAAGCCGGGGAGGGGGGGGGGGAATAGTTAGATAACCTCAGAACACTACACAGCAGCTGCTGAGAGGTGAATTACAGCCGACAGATGGCTGTTGATCTATTATGAACATAAAGCGCACTGTGCTAGTCTTCAAGTATTTTAACAAGGAGATGAGCTCTGTTAGTTGGTCAGCAATGGCTTCTAATATCGACTTGGACTGCTCTAGAACATACAATGAAAGCAGAAGGTGTCTTTCGGTGTTTCAATGAAAACAGGTGTCTTTCGCTGTTTTAATTGAAGCAAAATAGCAGCATGATCGGCAATGTCTTGTGAAGGAGACTTGCTACGTGTTAAGTTCCATCATGTATAGGCCTACCTACGTAATATGCATTATGTATATTGTAGGTACATGTGTAAGTAGGTACATGATACGAAGGCCCATGTCTAACTAGCCGTCGGAAGCCGAGGTCAGAATCCCTACATCTTTGCATTAAAGTCATTTTACTAGATGCTAGAGATTTTTGATATGCTTAAGAACCAATGGATAAAACCAAGTAGTGCGTTTTTGGTTGAAACTTGAAGCACTATGGAATAATGACGCTATAAAGAGAGCTAAAACGATCATCAGTCTAAAATGCCAACGCATTTGGAAAACGTACACCAATTCAGCCGGCAGTTAAGCTGGCGGACAAGTACGACTTGGCCGGCCTCTGGAGTCCGATAGAGGTCATTTATTTTCCGAATCAATCCCCAGCTATCTATTCATTCTCCTAAGGTCGCGTCCACCCAATCGCTTCAACTTTGGCGCAATATCCACTGGCGTCATTGCCGCCAAATGAATGATAGAAAGGTCACCTAGGTCATTCGGCCGAATACGGTTTCCGCAGAACGCGATTCTATTTTCACAGAAGTGAAACCCATTCTTAGGATGAAACACTGTCGGATGAATAATAGACAGCTGGTAAAATGACCCGTGATCAATGGCGAGTTAATGTTTGCGTTCTGACGGTTGCGCCCCCACCAAACGACCGGCTCGATGGTGAGGTCTACACCTTCAAATGGCCCACACCCCGTTCGAGATAACCGTACGAGTGGCGGATCGTGGGCTGTCTGTCCCAGAAGGACTCTCCCGTCCCACCGGGATAACCACTGCCGCTGCAGCACACCGATATAGGCGGTTCGCTCAATCCAATGTCTCCATCCTGTCCCCTCATCCTCATAGCTCGGCAATGGGCTCATTGGGCCAAAACAGATTGTGCCTGGCAGTGGCGGATCCAGGGGGGGGGGGGGCAAAATGGACATTTGCCCCTCCCAAACGGCATAATTTTAACATTACGCCTATGGACGAGGCATGAAAAGAATCGATAAATTGTTATGGTTTGCCCCCCCCCCAAAAAAAAACTCTGAGCTGGATCCGCCTCTGGTGCCTGGAAACACCATCAAAAGCTTTGAGTTGTATTATTTTGATATTTTGGCCTCTGGATATTTTGAGTACATATTACATAATGAGAGCCAGCTTAAACCAAATAAACCAAACAAACGTCTCTTCACAAATAGCGTAATAAATCCGCGTCTATCACTGAAAATGACAGTTGCTTTCACCAAAGTCTGAGATGAGATGGAACCATAAGTTGAGTAACAGAATCAATATGTGGTGCCAGCAACAGACAAACTGCATCTTCATATTATAAACGAAATGCCGCTATACACAGTTTTATTGAAGTGGCGGCTCGTTTTATCTATCTCACGATGACTTATATTGGATAGTCATGGCTGGCGGACTGCGCTCTCATGGGGTCAAATAACGGGACACTACGAATTTAGGGCACCCTTGGGTTTCATAACACAAGACGGCCGGGCTCTACAAGCATTGGCAAATGGGAGACTGGTTGCGATGGCCTATTCCACACTTCTACTCCACCAAAGTCGTCCATTTATGAGAGCGTTTGACACTGAAAGTAGGTGCACTGTACTGAAGAAGACTAACGAAGGAAATGAAAAGGGCCAGGCTTTGTCGTGTGTGAAAGTTCCAGCTTGGTGTATGTACAAGGTGAGTGTATGTCGCACGAGTGACTATTCGCAACTGGTCAACTCATGACTAGAACTGATCAATTAATGCAGGCACGATTCAGTAATATTAGACTTTTAAATGCAAGAATGTAGACAGTGAATTCAACATCTGTGCATCGCAGTCAAACATCTCACTTCAATATACCTACTAAGTACATAGTATCTAGTAACTACGGCTTCTCAAATTCGCCTCAATAATGCTAATGCCCCTAGAGGCTTGACCGCTTACACCAATAAGCCGAGCAAGCAATTTCGGTGCTATGCGCATGGGCTGTATAGGCCATCAATTTCATGTCGGCCAGAAAGCGTCATTTGCCGTAAACACTGCAGTCTGGCCAAAGGTCGCGTTTTATGTGGCTCGTGTCGGACGCTCCGGCGGTCTCCTCCGAACTGTCTGTGGCCGGCCTCGGTGACCTCAGTGGGAGACCTTAGGCAGAGCAGCGGTCAGCGAGCGTGTGAATAGTGCAGAGATCGTCAGGGTCTGTGAGGTAGGGGGGGGGGACGTTCACGTACCGTAGTAGGCCGACATGTCCATCGGCATGGTGTCTATGAGCCGGGTGGTCTTTTGCAGCTCGCGGAGCAGCAGCTGCGTGCAGCTGAACAGCAGCACCAGGCACTGGCTGTCCACCAGGATACCGCTCTCCATCTCTCTGCCGAAAGGGGGCAGAGCTGATGGTACTAACTAGAACGCCGGTGGGGGAGGGGCGTCGGCGAGTATCGACCTATAAAAGTACTTGGTATAGGTCAATATCCCCGAGTGACTCAGATATTTAAGAGACGCATAAAATGATACTAACTATTGTGGTCAAACATTTGCCATTTAAATTCTTTGAGAAAAAAAAGTATTATATGGGCTATATAAGACTGACGGATATAGCTAAGAAGATAAAAATGTCTTGGCATTCAAAGGCTTCAGAAGGGTGTCACATCTTGGCTTTTTAACCAAATATAAGTCTATATCAAATGCATCGACAACGTGACTCTACTTCCACCTTATGGTGAACCATGCAATCGCATGTAACACCAGTCAAACACCATTTACCACACACTTTGACAAAACACGAAGAAATTGTAAGCAAACAAGATCACTGACGAATCCAGAATGCTATGAGGGATGTGTCCAATGCCCACATCGTTCAAAATGCATATAAGATTCACTATTATTTCTCGCATAGGAAGAAAACTGGCGAAATATCTGGTGGAGGAGGTGCCATAAATCGAACAGCAACGCATAGGATAAGTAGGACGAGATGTGAGATGATGTTTTTCGTACTCCAGCGTAGATGGGTAGCCACAGGGGGATGTCACTACTTTGCTTCGCCATAGGTCCAGTACTGATGTAGTCGGTTTCGATCCCGGTGACGTCAGTGCTGTCTACATCCGGGAACTTATTGCACTTGGTTCTCATTAGAGGTGGCCATATTGTTTTGTCTCGTGACGACACATTTGCGTCATCGGGATCGAAACTGGCTGTAAACAAATCGCTCAGTGTCGCTACCTACTATATGGCCTTGGGTAGCCATACGGCTCCCACGGTTGACAGTGATGACATCAGTCATCTTTTGCAAGCTCGTTAAAGATTTGGACTATACGGGGATTCGCACCTCGGACCTTAGGATTAGCGCTCCAATGCTCTACCTCTGAGCTATACAGGCCAAGTACTTAATAATAATAAAAAAATCTTAAAAATCTTACTTAAAAATCAACACCTAAGTAGGACGAGATGTTTTGGGTTTTGAGTCTTGTAGAGGTTTTTCTATCACCTGCTGCATCCAACACCAATTTTCAAGATCCACCTATGTGCCAGTTATTCCTAAACTGTCTGTACCAGGCCGAGAAAACAGCCTAACTTAACTTTACGTGCAGAAACCACATATGACGGGTCATGTTACCTTTATCATTAACCCTCGCCCGGCGAGGGGGGGTTGATGCAACCCCCCCTTAAGGTTTTTCGCAAATAACGTAAACGCCAAATTTGGCATATCCTCTGGGGCAACCTTTTGGCACCTTCCCTGAAAATGTCAGGTCTCTGCCATTTCAGGTCAGGTTACCAGGTCAGAAAAACCGGTACAAGGTCATGGTCAAATTTCAATTTTCTTTATGCACCTATCCAACTCAGTTTTGAACTGATTTCCTTCAAACTTTCAGGATATCCTATAGGTTCACCGAGTTGTATAACATATAGTTCGTTTTTTTCATGTCGCTGACCTGAGGTCAGTTAGAGGTCATTACGTCGTAATGTTAAGCCTATGGGAAAATATTCAATTCGGAAAATACTGGCGATATCCGCTTCCTTATCACTTTCGTGCTTTGAAACAACAGTACTTAACATTATGTCACTTGGTGCTTCTTTGTTTGGTGTACTTATCCATGGGTCAGGTCAAATGAGGTCAACTGAGGTCAAATGACGTTTGTGCCAATAACTTGTCACACAATAAAGATAAAGCTTTCAAAATGGCATCATTTTGTTCCTCTTAAACAGCCGAGTCGAATGATATGCAACATTAAGCATTTTGACCATTCTTAAGACTTAAGATGTACTTAAGATGTGCTTAACTTTTTAAGTAAACTTAAGCAAACAAACAAGCATATCATTCGACGCGCCTTGACGTGCTGAGTTCACTGGTGCTTTTCTTTTTGCTCTATCGTAATTAGATCAAAAGTTATAAGCGAAAAACTTTTGGCATGTTTTAACAAAAAATTTACACTTATACCCCCCCCCCCCAAAAAAAATCCCCCTAAATATTGACCTAGAGCAACCAATTTGGCACAGGGGTGAGACCTCCTATAGACCCATCTACCTTGTAAATTTGGTGTTTCTAAGTGCCATAGGAGCCAATCGCCAGGGGGGTCGTACCAACCCCCCCCCCCCTCGCCGTCCGTGTTATGGAAAAGGCCCTCGCCTGGCGAGGGTTAAAGGGACCCTCCCACCTTCAAAAAAGTTTATAAATTGGCATGAAAGTGATGTCGCTCGGTACAGAAAGAGCGAAAACGAATATCTGCCAAATTTCACCGAAAAATATTCACCGGTTTTCAAGATATTAGACTTTTACTTTTGTTTACTTTTTGGGATCTCCGCTGTTCCTAGCGACTTTATTTGGAAGCAATAGTTTGGCAGCTGAAAGTGCGGCACTTGTTGCGCGCAAAGCAGCATATACCACCGCGTGCTACAAAACGTTTTAGTCAAACATTTAAAAATCGTTAGACATCTGCGCTGACGTCACACATTCAGAGGGGTATTCCTATGCATTAGCCCCTCTGAATCAAAATGCTGCAATTTTGAAATTCAATATTTCCGATTTAAGGCATTTCTCGATGTTGTGAGTGCCGAAACCGGTAATTGTGAGCCAGGGACCCCATTTTGGCTATCTCAACTCAAATCTAATGTTAAGGTGGGAGGGTCCCTTTAAATGCATTGCGGAGATAATGTTTCCCGTCCATGAATGATGAATATGTACCTACGTTCGTTATTGGCTATTGCGCACCATAAGGTGAGAGGAATTAGACTCTCGCTGAAACCATTCACTAAGTAGCTTCGCTATGCTGTGGACTCCTTTGCCTGTAGACAGGCTATTCAGTCGGCTTAACTAAGGGCTATGAAACCCACGCGCCTTCGCTACTCGAGTGCGGCTCGGTTCCTGTGACGTCATACTACCCGGGCGCTTACGTCATCGGCCTCCCACTGTTTCATGAGGCTGTTTGACTCACTGTATGTACCTACATACGTACTGTGTCTTGTGTTCAGAGTGAGTCTTACTCGTGTTAAGGACGCTCTGAGCCTGAGGAGTATTGGGCTGTGAGTGTACTTACATACAATGGTCATGGGGATGAAAGCAGATCCCGCGCGGCTCCAGAACAGTGAAACATCGTAAACCGAACGGATTAACCTGAGCGAGAGCTGGGTCTGAGGTCTAGCTCAGTGCGGCTGAGTGGGAGTGAGCCACAGGCTAGGAACTGTGTGAGGCTGCTCTGGACTGGGACCGACCGAGTGGGGCCCAGTGGCGCTCAGCGGCACTGATCCTGGCTGTGAGAGACTGATCTCGGGATCAATCGAGACTGGCGGTGGCATGGAATCGGTAGAAGAGCTTTTTGCGCCTGCCGCTGGCAGATGGCTATAAGTGGCATCAGGAGTATGCGCAGCAAAATATACCTACCAAGATTATGAAACTGATGGCATTTAGACACCATTTTGTTTTACACTTCTTATGTTGGCTTCTTCTTAATTTCTATTCCGGGAGATAAACAGCGTACGCTATCTGCGAAATGTCGTACATTTTGTCTTTTGGGAACAAACCATTAATAGCTGAGCGCTCCATTATTTATTGCTGATAGAATTTGCCGCTGTAAACGGAGGCTTCCTGATGTAAACACGATCGGTGAGTGAGGGGACACAAACAGAGCGGCTCGGCGCCGGAGGACAGCGCCGCCGACCATAAACAGAGCCGGCGGCCCGCGGCGGCGCGGCCACTTCACTCACTTGCGGATGTGCGGCAGCAGGCGGGCGGCCGTCTGCCGGCAGCTGGTCATGCAGTCCAGCCGCGTGCGTCGGATGCGCTCCCGCAGCTCGGGGGAGTCGCGACTGCTTCCCATCGCCAGCAGGTGCTCCCGCAACAGCGCCACGTGACAGTTGAGCTCGCAGATCATCTGCCGACGACAAACACCACGTGACAGTTGAGCTCGCAAATCATCAGCCGAAGGCAGAAATCACGTGGCAGCTCAGCTCGCAGATCATCAGCCGGCAGCCAACATCACGTGACTGTCGAGGATTTAGAAAAGCTATCTGGAGCGGAGGTTACGTGACTTTTAGAACTCGTAATTACATATCTGACATACATGAGGGTCATGATCTAGCATGAAGAAATGGATGTAAACTGTTATTATCTAGAGCTTCTAATCTATATAAAGTGTAGTGCTTCTAAAACAGTTGAACTGGTTAAATCTTAATACGATTGTTATTTATTTATCCCCACCCTCATTCTCTTTCTACCCTGTCAGTAATCAGCATGGTCACAACTTGTCAACGCCCGAAGACGTTAGTAACTCCGAACTTAGTGCATTTCCATTCCAACTCTGCCCGCGATAACATCGTCAATCGCTCGTAAAACATAACCTCATTCACACTCTATTGCTGCAGTTTGGCCTCATTTGCCTCTGAGGGAACATCAAAAGCACTAATGCACGTAATTGCGCACGGTTATGTTGTAGTCTAATGAAAACAAAACTGGTGATTGAAAGACCACATATGAATGGTCATGCTGTATGTATGCAGCACATAGGTCAACTGTCCGAACACTGGTGCCAAGGTCGGCCACGGCCCAAGGCGCAGCTCGTGAATGCTTCACGGAAGCTTCACGGTATCGACTGACCGAACGCTGCACTCAATATACCCTGGAGCGCTGCGGTCGGCACTCCCCAGCACTTAGACCTATTGTCGTGCAATAGCCTCGCAACAGATTCGCGACAGTAGCACAGCAGTCTACATACGATAGGCTAATAGCTCAAAATAAGCGCAAAAGAAGTACGAAGCATTCAGACAATCATACCAATTGTCGTTAGGTAAAAAGGTTCAGCTTGTCTTTGGGCTCGTTGCTTCTGCGGTAAACGACATGCATATTGCACCTAACTGGAGATGAGAGTTCCACTAGGTAAAGTACGGAGAGACGGAGACAGAGCTACCCTTACAAAATGAATGTACAACTTACATTCATATAAGCGAGCGAGTGTTGCTAAGCAATCATGTCTTGTTCATAAGAATGGATTATCTTCCGTTGGGTGTCATATAATTATATGCCCTCGCCGGCACAGGGGGGTTGATGCAACCCCTCCCCCTAAGGTTTTTCGCGAATAACTCGTGTAAAAAGCGGCCAATTGCGACGCAACTTTAAGTACCCTCGCATTGATGAATTATACACCTACCCTTATAATTTCATGACCCTGACCCAAATGGCCTTTGCCCTGTGACCTACTTTCCTAGACCATGTTTGACCGGAATCGCGATTCGGCGTATGTCGGCTCGCATTAGCCGCGCGTTTGCAAGCTTTTCGTGGTTTCAAACGTTCAAACATGTGATTTAATGTTGCTCCCATGCATCAGGTGGATGTCAAGGTCACCTGAAGGTCAGGTCTGGTAATAGGTGAATAACCTTTGATGACCTCGCTTCACTTTTTTGAATTTTACATGTTTCTAGACTAGTTTTTGGAGCTGAATTCGAATTTAGCAACCAGTCCATTTGAACATTTACGAAGTAGTTTTGGTGCCTTCGTAACATATTACGAAGCTGTCAGAGGTGGTTGACACGTGCTACGAATACCCGTCACGACCCCTAAATTGGGTATCATCTGTTTCCTCTCGTGACAGGCATCACGCTCGTTTTTTCCGCGAAGCTCTAGATCGATCAGGAGCCAAACGCGAGGGGGCTCGTACCAACTCCCCCCCCCCCCACCCCCTCCTTGTGCCGTCGAAGGACGCAAAATGGCCTGTGCCGGCGAGGGTTAGGGACAATTGTCAGTTTTTCCTGCAATTGTCTCTTATTCCACACTCCATGGGACATATCGTAGTTCTTCTCTAGCTAGTTGCAAAAAAGTGTTTTGCATTCCTCAGATTTTTTCCGACTAGCCGAGGTTTGGCCCGCAGCTGCCAAAGCTGATTTAGGCTGAAAAGCATTGATCTCAAAGAATGTTCAATTATGCAATTTCAGTGCCGCACTACATCTACACGCGCCTGCTCTGATCTCTGAAAAGGGCGCGCTGGCTGCTCCGGTGAGGCCTCAAATTCAAAGGTGATCGGTAGAAACGCGCGGAATTCGGATTGCTCGCGTCGGCGGAGAGGGCGATGTATCTTGACCGTGGAGAGAGAGAGAGAGAGAGAGAGAGAGAGAGAGAGAGAGAGAGAGAGAGAGAGAGAGAGAGAGAGAGAGAGAGAGAGAGAGAGAGAGAGAGAGAGAGAGAGAGAGAGAGAGAGGTATCTTGACCGTGAGAAAAAGGGGCGATATATCGTGGTTATGAGAATAGAGGGCGATGCAGCTTGAGATGGATATGTAGACTGTATCATGCAGCCTTGAAGGCAGAGAGAACACCATGTTGTGATCCCGGGAACAGAGGGCCCGATTAGCAGGCGGAGTACCAGACCAGCGCTCCTACATCCCCGGCCAAGGCCAACGGTCAGAGTCTCCGCCGCACGCCGGGAGCATGTGTTCCGCATTGCCGCTTAGAAAAGAAATGAACTTCCTCATGACACCAGTGTGGCGTGTAAACCTTCCTATCAGGGACAGGCGGACGCTGTCGGGGTAGTAAATGAGGCGGAAATGGTCTCAGGCCTGTTCTGATGTAACTATGAAGCGGAAGAGGACACTATACCCGCAGAAATTAATGGAATTCATGCTCGGATGGAAAGGGTAGGGTGGAAAATGACGAACAACGGTTAGACATTCTTTAGTATAATCATATCAACTAAAAAATAACTTGCTTAAAACCCTCGATATGTTTATAATAACGAATTTGTGAGCATTGGTGCATCGTCTCAACGCCTCTAAAAAATCTAACCCACGTTTGTTGTCATTGCTGAAAGTACATAAGCAACGGGGCTCTCTGAGAAGGGGTCAGCTGTCACTTAAGGAAATGTTCATTTGGACGTTGACCGACGGTGAAAGCTGGTCATAAATGATTATTAGCGTTTTAGGGATTGTCAGGGATTGGAAAATGCAAAGAAAATGCATTTTACACATACAGTCAATAGATGTCCTAAAAAAAATGTGTGAAAACACCCTCTCTCCCCTTTAAAGTCCTTTACAAATGCCCCTCATTTCTTACACCTTCTGTTTTGTGCCCCACTCACCTCCTGTATTCGAGCCGGGCTGTAGCTGGTGTCTTGCGCGTCATTCTCCTTATGCCCCGAGGACATAGTCATTATGGCGCGCGGGCCGCGGGCCCTGCCCTTCCTGCTGCCGCCGGCCGAGCGTCTCCGCAGTGACGCGCGAGAGTGCACCGCCGGCACTGGCCTGCGCTCCTCCACCGGTGCCGGTCCTGAGGGCGTTCCCGCGGCGGGCCGGCCCTCCTGTCGGCCTGGGACCGACCCTGAGGGAGTGCCCGCGGCGGGCCGGCCCTCCTGTCGGCCTGGGACCGACCCTGAGGGAGTGCCCGCGGCGGGCCGGCCCTCCTGTCGGCCTGGGACCGACCCTGAGGGCGTTCCCGCGGCGGGCCGGCCCTCCTGTCGGCCTGGGACCGACCCTGAGGGAGTGCCCGCGGCGGGCCGGCCCTCCTGTCGGCCTGGGACCGACCCTGAGGGTGTTCCAGGTGTTGTCCAACTCTCCTGTCGGGCTGGAGTTGACTCTGAGGGTGTCCCGGGTGTACCAGGTCCGTCTGCTTTGCCTGGGACAGTGTCTGAATTTCTTTCCGATGAATCTGATCCTTTCTTTTTGATAGGAATCGTTTCCAAAGATATTCCTGGGGATAAATGCTTGTTTGGAACCAATCTAAAGGGTTTTGTCGGTGCAGCAGAAGCGGTACCGCTCCCCTTCTGCCTGTCGGGGGCTCCCGTTGCTGGAGCGACACGGCCTTCGTGTTTGCCGAGCGTCCCTCCCGAGTGGGTGCCGGCCGTGTCTGGACGCTGCTGCCTGGGGACGGCGCCCAGCCCGCCGGCCGCTGGGGCGACTCCTGGGCGCTGCCCGGCTGCGGAGGGTGCGCCGTCGGCCACCCAGCCGTCCTCCGGCAGGGCCCCCGACTCGGCACGGTGAGGAATCGTGGAGAGACGCCCCCGGCGCCGGCGCCGGCCCGCCGTGCCCCGCCGCGCCCGCCGCCGTCTCCAGCCGGCGTCACATAGTCGAAGGTGCTTGGTGCTGCGGTCGGCACCGGAGACGGCCGTCCGGACGGGCACGAGTTCTCCCAGCACCCGACAGCTGGTAGAAAAGGACACCAGTTCCCGAATCAACTCTTGTTTCCAGCTGACAGGGTTCGAGCCGGCGACGGTCCAGGCGGGTGTCTCACTGCCTCAATCACTAGCTCAGCCACCACGACCTGCCGCCCGTTACCACTGTCCGTCACCACTGTCCGTCACCACTGTCCGTCACCACTGTCCATCACCACCGTCCGTCACCACCGCCCGTCACCACTGTCCGTCACCACAGTCCGTCGTCACTCCCGTCACCACAGTCCGTCGGCACTCCCGTCACCACTGTCCATCACCAGTCAGCCCGTGCAACATCGCGCCGAGGAAAACATTCGCCACGGGGGTGCCAAGCGATCCCGCGAGCGTCACCCCACCACTGCTATCGCAAGAAGAGCCAACCACCTGTCCTGCGAGTCTGGTTGAAGCTGCAACGATAGTGTCTTAGCCTTGACTGAGGTTATACTAGTGTTGGTCAGCACGCGTCCACGGCGAAGAATGGTAAATGTTGAATTATGATAAAAAATGGCTTAGCACCGGTCATTCCTCGAAGCTACCAGTACATGTTGAAATCAATGTGAGATTATTATTTACTATCACCAGTATGACAACATAAATTCACACACCATCACTAGACTCACATTACTGAAACAGGACACTTGTCGCCGGAGTCTCACAAACAGCGCAATGACGGCGATAGTGGCGCGTCCTGCCGAAAGTGGCGCTCGGGAGCGCCGGGTACTCGCTCCGCCGCCGCCGCCGACCGGCCACCGACTGAGGCACCATGGACCGAGCCACCTGGCGAGCGAGACCGATCTCCGCACGCACACCGACCCGCGCCGACCTGCCCGACGTGCCCTATACCTGACCGACCGACCGACCGACCTACCCGACCGTTCTCTGGCCTCTTCAGGACGAGCCAAAATGCGGCTGATGTCAAAAGATCCGGCTTAAACAAAGGTCAGGTATGCCAAGTTTCAGCTCTCTATCGCCAGCGTGTTCGGAGCTATCGAGGAAAAACCCTATGGGGGCGGCACCCGCCCCCCCCCCCCCTCGGCCGGCGAGGGTTAACGCGCTTAACGCAATGCTCGCGCTTCGTGCCTGAGTAGGTAGACTGTACCGCAGCACTGAGGAGTTGGGCGGCACAGTCTAGTTTCCAGAGCACTACGCGCCAGAGCTTTGGACGTGCAGCCAGGGCCGGGTGCGCTGCGGCCTCTCAACATTACGAAAAGTGGCAACGGTTGCGCTCAAGCACTGTCAGCAGCCTTGGGCATGCTAAATGAAAAAAGTAGGTACCTAATTTATGTTTCACCGACCAATCAGTGTGAGCCATGGTCGACGCTCCTGGTTCATGAGTACTTATGTGAATATTTTGGGGTCCTGGGCGTTAATAGACGTTTTCACGACGGGCTATCTGGCGAGTGCACCTAACTTGACCAAATATGCACCTTATCTCTTTTACAGCAAATATCTTTATCTTAAGAATTTATTTTAGTGTTTTAATCGATGATACTCTCTGATAATATGACAAAGCAGGGATATAAGCAATTAGTGCAGTGCAGCCCTAGCTGATAGCTACTATGTAAGAGACACACTGAGCCTGATTTGACCAAATATGCACCTAATCTGCACCAAATGTGCACCAAATGTGCACCAGATGGCCGTCGTGAAAACAGCTAATGTTCGCGCTTAGCAGCCCAGGTGGTTAAACCTTAAACAATATTTTCATATATTCATATATTTATATTTCATATATTCATATTTCATATATTCATATATTCATATATTCATATATTCATATATTCATATTTCATATATTCATATATTCATATATTCATGTATTCATATTTTCATGTTATTATACATAGACCATTCTGACAAAACTAGGATTATTTATGAAAGCTACAGGCCATTCTGCTACTGATCAATTAAAATTCATTGTTTTGATGAATATAGTAATGCGCTGAAGAGTTACAATTTTTTAGATAGGGCCTCGTGCTAGATTTACCCCCAATTACCATGACAGCCTGAGGCTGCTTGCCCACCGGAGTTGCGGATACTTATTACAATGGTGTCCCCACTTTTATGTTGGTAGCGCTCTATCTGGTTTGAATAGCCTTGCGTGTAGCTTGTGTCTCTATCTAATGTTATGGTAGGAAAAAGTGTTGATAGCCTTTGATGACCTTACATGTTGTCTGATGGATATGGAGGGTGGGAATCTCTAATTCGGTATTCAATGTCACCTCATTAAAATTTATTGAGAGTGTTAAGATAAAGCTTCCCGGAAGTTTTTTTTTAAAGAAATTTTGTCCGAATGGATGAATGGGTGGTTATGGGCCCGGGTGCCCCGCTAAGCAGTGCTTGTTGCGAATGACACCACGGACCCACCACCCCACCTTGCCCGCGCCCGGTTCACCGGTGATAATTTGGATCGAAAGTTTAACGTGCCGCAGGTAGATGGCGGCACGGTCCTCCCGGGTCTAGCGTGGCCCTCTCTCGCCAGTTGCCAGCTGAATGATCTCGGCGGTCTGCACTGAAAACAATTTAACCTTCGCATGTGTGCGGCGTTTGCCAGCTTCTAATGTGTAGGGGGGGGGGGTCGGTTGGACCCCCCCCCCCCCCTTGCCGTTTGGCCCCTGATCGAGCTAGAGCTTCGCGGAAAAAACGAGCGTGTTGCCCGTGACGAGAGGAAGCCGATGATTCCCAATTTTAAGGTCCTAGGTCATTGATTGACCTTCCAGGTCAGGTCAATGACCCAAAGTCGGGAAAATCGGCACCTGTTAGAAAGTCGTAAAGTGTGGCTGCTAAGGGGTTTTCGGGGTTCTGATCACGAATATCGTGTTAGCTTTGATCACAGATGATGCCTTGAAGCATTTAGACCAGGTCGGGTCAGGCAGGTCAGGTCAACCAGTAGGCGTCGTGACGGGTATTCGTAGTACGTGTCAACCGCCTCTGACAGCTTCGTAACATTACGAGTCACCAAACTACTTCGTAAATGTTAAATGGTTGCTAAATTCGAATTCAGCTCCAAAAACTAGCCTAGAAACAAATGTAAAACTCGAAAAAGTGACCCGACGGTCACCCGAGGTCACCAAAGGTCAATGACATGACCTGACCTTCAGGTGACCTTGATACACCCGGCAGTAACATCAAATCAATGTTGGGAACGTTTGAAACCACGAAAAGCTTGCAAAACACGCGGTAGTGCGAGCCGACATACGCGAAATCGCCCCGATTCCGGCCAAACATGGTCTCGGAAAAGAGGTTACAGGTCAAAAGGTCATTTGGGTCAGGGTCATGAAATTTTCAGGGTAGGTGGTAAAATTGATCAATGCGAGGTACTGAAAGTTTTGTCGCGATCGGCCGCTTTTTACGAGAGTTATTCGCGAAAAA